AGAGTGAAAGTACATCCGAAGAAGTGAGGTTTTTACTCACGAAAGCTTATGCCCAAATAAATCTGTTAGTCTTTAAGGTGCCACCAGACTCCTTGTTGTTTTTGTAGATACAGACTAACACGGCTACCCCCTGATACATGTCATCTGAAGGACGCTAAAGCTTTATGCTCCTTTTATGCTGCTTCGAGCTACCAGTAGAAAGTGCTTTTGAGGGACCCTACGTCATAGAATCCAGTTGTCTAAGTATCCCAGCCTGGACATGTCAGCACCTTAGACTCTGGGCTTGGCACTTCATAACTGAGAGCATCAGCACTTTGGAACCCTATCCGCTATCTGAGCAGATGGACCCAGTTTCATCTGAAGTGCTTATGCACTAAACTGTGAGTCACTGTGGTGCCACATCTCTCCTCAAACCACAGATACACCCAGACTAGGATTCATCCTAAACAGGATCATAAAATGTAGAGGTCTGCATTGCATTTTCTGCCCAGAATATCATGAAAGGAGTTTGAAAGTCCAGACTTTAGCTGACATGAGAATCCCCATGGTGCTTTCTGCTGGGAGCCAAGGAAATGACTAGTTGGGAGGATGAAACCTCAAACTTGCCTCAAAAGGAACCTTAGGGAAGAAATGGCAGAGAAAATAATGAAAAAAGTGTGATCTGTAGCAAACCAAGTTATTGCGAACATACACTAGAAAGAGTACCCAGAACCTAACTGGCTAGGGCAGTTGCACTGGTTAAAGCTTAGAGACACCATTTCCTGTGCTGACCGGCGTTAGAAGGGAACCAGCTGGATTGTTCCGGTGCCGTTGCGGTACCTGATGTTGGCATATGCTCAGCAGGACAGGGCTTTTGATTAGGCAGGAAGGAAAAAATAACTCTTATACCGGGTGATGTGTTCCAGAGAGATGTGAACTAAGAGTGAGATTCCTGCCTAGCTGGTTTCTTTAGAGAAGCAGAATTACAGGTTAAGTGATTTTCCCTTCTGCCTCTGTTAGGAAGGAATTTTCAAATCATGGGGTGATATATGCAACATAATGGAGACATGTAGAAAGAAGAAAATTTAAAATGTACTAATTAAATTCCCCAGGCCTGCTTATCTCCTTCTACCTGTCTCCCAGTAGCATACTCCCACAGTGAGAAAATCCATGCCCCTGGTGAATTGCTTTGGCCCCCTTCTTCTGACAAAGGTTAGGTCATCCAATCATAGAAAAGAAAAAAAAATACCAATATCGGCAGACTTAGGTCACAACTTAGGAAAATGTGTGACTTAGGAATGATCTGTATTCAATAATTAAATTGTTTCCTATGGATACAGTAGTTTTACCAACTCCAATCACAAGTATACACAGGAAGCATCGGATAGCTCCAAGGATGGGAGTACAAGCTGACTCCACTCTGGGGAAGATATTTTATATTTGTTGCCTTTCCTGCCCAGAAAAGACATGCATGATTTAAGGTCATTGACAGAATTACTGCGCTTCCAGAAATGATATTCTTATTAGTAATTAATAAATAGTGCCTTTGAGGTTTACATTTTCTTCTAGAAATGAGGCTGTGGTGCTCTTTGTATGCTATTTTCCTTACTTTTAGCCTTTTAATCATTTCCTGATAAACAGAAAGAGTAAACAGGTATTAAGACATCTAAAGGCAATCTGAAAATGCAGCTATCTTTGAGAGTCTGCAATGCTAGATATACACTAGACTCTTGTAAATCAGCAGTCATCTCACAGAGTCTGAGAGTGAAAATAAGTAAAGGAAAAATGTCTTAGTGCTCTCTGCAGGAGCCACTTTCAGCAGATTAGGGGTCAAATGCATTTAAAGAACAGTAGGGGAAGATGCTTGCACTGTCACAGTGTACTGCTAGAGAGTACTCAACCTTAGACATTCTCATCCTGCCCATCTGGAAAACCAAAATGAAAAAATAAATCCTTTCAAGTCATTTTGTCTTTGAGACTAATTAAAGTACATAGTGAAATGAGGAAAGCAGAACAATGTTCCCCAGTCTCTGGGTGTCTGGCATATCAACATATGGCCACCAAAGGAAAGTAATAAGTTGCAGGACAGAGCCTAAGCTAATGAAAGCTGAGGATAATGCAGGGGTAACATTTTGTCCTGGGAATATGGGGATGAGAGGCTAAGGTAAACAGACTGGTAGTCCTCTAGTTTAAAATACACTGAGATTAAACTGTTTTCTATGGGGTGAAAGGCCACAAGGCTGGTTTTTAATCAAATGATGTTTAAAACTATATTTTTAATTACTGCTTCACTTGAAAACCTGCTTACATTTGATGAATGTGGGGGGCTAACCCGCCAGTTCATGGTGTGATGCCAAAAGTTCCAATTTGACAGTAGGCTGCTGTGCAGTAAACTGATTTGCTCACCTCAGAGAGCTGTTGTAATAGTGTTTGGCAGAAGGATGATTATGGTGCTTTGCTGGTTAGTGCATGAAGCTTTTCTTGGCCTTGACTTAGGAGGAAGTTGCCTGCCAATAAACAGTATGGATGGACTATAATGATGGAGGGAAGGGAATTCAGAGGAAAGGAAAGGGTTGATTCATGGATTCATGCCAGTTATTATTATTACATTAAAATCTAGTGGTTGAGGTGGGGATTGGAAAGAGAAGAGCCTATTCTGAATAAGTAAGGACTACACACAAAAGACATAAAGCAAGAATAGTTTGATTTCTCTCTCTCTTACCTACAATGAATATAACTGCATCAAAAACAATTATGTGACTGGAATTTATTTTTCACACTGGACCCATTATTTTTATTTGTGTTATATTGCAGAAACTCTACTTACTGTATGAAAGTATCCATCTCACTGACAGTGGGTGAAAATGACACTGGACTCTGCTACAATTCAAAGATGAAGTACTTTGAAAAAGCTGAACTTAGCAAAAGCAAGGAAATCTCATGCCCTGACATAGAGGATTTTTTAATTCTATATAGAGAGCCTGAAATCCTGTGGTATAAGGTAAGGAATACAGAAGACTTCTGTTGCCTTCAACAAAATATTATGTCAAGTTCTGCTGCATTTTCAATAATCTCAACATTTTATCTGGACGTGATATACAGCTTGGATGGATTTAAGATACATTAATAATAAGACAAGGGGGGATAGGATGAAAAAAGAACTAGATGGTAAAGTGTTTTAATATACTAGCTTTTTAGTTGTAGAGAGACAAGGATTCAAATGCTTTCTTAGGTAACATTGAAAACTACTTATTTGGTATCTTCCTATTCCCATCTAGCTGTACCACAAAACAACCAAATAATTGGTGGTCCTCTTTCAACTGAAAAGTCCAAAACTGGAAAAGAAAAAATGTTACCAGGGTGGTCTGGTATGATACACATTGGTAAGGCTGGGTGGGGAAGCAGACACAGCAATTGTCTGCACTATGCCAGATTCAAGCTTGTGCTAGTAGAACCCTCAATTTCCAAACATGAAATTCACTCAGAAAGATATGAAGCGAAAACATTATTTCAAGAAGAAGCTGTGCACATTTTTTACCTGCATACACAATTTAAATTGTACCTCATACAATTCAACAAGAATCCCATGTTTTCAATAACATTAAAACTTCAAATCTCTCCAAGAATAAAAACTCATGTTTAAGGCTTGTGATCTGCCCATTGTTTGCACAATTATGGGAAGAAAAGGGAAACAACGATGTCCCAGATAGAAAATTAGCTTTCACTTAAAGTACCCATATTTCTCTATGGTTTATTGATAACTTTATTTCAACATTGTGCATTAATTTGCTTTTCTGGAGCGCTATTTAGGCCCTGGTTCTACGAGGTCCTTGTTTAATGCAGCTCCCATTGACTGCAGTTGGAACTGAGGGTGCTCAGCACTTTGCACATTGTAGGGTCTATTTTTTAATGTACCCTAGTTCCTGGATAAACCAAAATAGTTCTGATCTCATAGGTAAACCTGAAATAAGTTTGTGTATACAGGAATAATTAACTGTCATTTTCCAGTTGAAACGTATTTCACTATGCTTTCTAATTATCAAAACACACAGATGTACCTAGCCTCACTATGAGTACTTGTAAATTGTATTGTCCAGTGATTATAAAGAATTATGATCTAGGAGGATTCTGGCTGAGCCACTGCCTCTGAAAATGTAGGGTAATAATTATGTAGCCCAACCAGTAGCTTCATCTGAAATATGCTATCTAAGATTTAAAATATGTAATAGAATACATATCTAAGGATTTAAAATGTTAAAAACTATTTTCCCTTGGTAGGTTGCAAAGATTCATAAAAGACCATTGTGGGTTATCATGTGCATGGACATATTTCTATTCTAACAAACAGACCGAATGACATTTACAAAACTAGCCTATATACTATATGCACAGCAAGCTGCTATGCTGGGCAAAATGAGCAGATTATTTTGTACTGTTACATCAAAAATCTCAAAGACATTAGTCCATTGGCCTGTAACTTATTTCTTAGAAAGATGAAGAAATTTGGAAAACCCTGAAAAATATCCAAAAGCATGCAGCTATATCATGTTTTATTTTAATTATTTGAAATCTAATAAGGCAAATTTAAAAAAAAAAGAGAAAAAAAATAACAATATGAGAGGGAACCAGTAAAAACTGCCAACACATACACAACTCTTAGACCAAAACAAATTTCAATCTTGCGGATGGGCTCACTTATTAAACAACAAAATAAGAATGTATTTCAGCAAGAATGAAACATATAGAATTTTATCAGTAGCAATTAAAATTGGGACACATTATATTTTGTATATATAAATAGTACAAATTAGACATTGCGTTATCTCATTGAGTCAATAGTAAGATCATTGATAAGTAAAACCTTTCAAAGCAAATTCTAAGATGATTTCAGGTACGGAGATGCAACTTGCTTCTTCCTTGTTTTCTCATTCGCTCCTACTTCCCTCCTTTTTGATTAATTATTGCTTTACAATGACTTCCCATGTCCTCTAGCTGTCATTAACATAATGATGATAGACGTTTTCTGTATATGTAATAGTCCCAGAAACAATATTAATTAGATAGGAAGAATAGGAACTCTTTAACAATATTACTTCAGAGCATCATCATTAAGGGAATAAATTCCCTGCCTTTCTGGCATCCAGACAGCTCTCATGTGACTCAATGAAGTAGAATATTTGGGTGACTCAGTTTATGTGAGATATCGTAAGTAATTATCTAAGCCATTTCCTAGGCTCTTTGACTTGGGCAATGTTGTCAATAATCACATTTAAATACAAGGATTTCAGTCATGGGTGTATTATATTGTCTTTGAACAGGAATGCAAGGCAAAAACATGGAGACCGAGTATTGTGTTCAAAAAGGACACACTCATCATCCGGGAGGTTAGAGAAGATGACATTGGAAATTATACTTGTGAGTTAAAATATGGAATCTTTGTTGTCAGAAGAACTACAGAATTAACAGTTACAGGTAATTATAGGATCCTAATATCTTTTTCTGATATTGTAAAGAAAGACATTGCCTTTTTTTGTTTTAGGTCATTTGTGATATACATTGCAACTACTTAGCTAGAGACAAAAGTTTTGATGACTGTTGTTTCACCTTGCCTAGGTGATGTTTCCACACAATCTTACAAAGTTCCAATTAGTGTGCACAGCATTCTGAATGAGGTCTAGGTTTGGGCCTGTTTTTAGAGACCTGTAGGCAGCTCAGGTTTCTGAATGGGAAATGGGGAGGGTGTTCAGTGTTTTGGTAGGATAGGTAGCCTACGCTATTTATGGCAGAAAATAACATGATGGAGCCCACTATATTTGTTTGTGGAATGCTGCCTTTTGAAGGCAACACTTCTAGAACTGACGTTGCTATGTTAGAGCGGCATCATTCTAAGAGGACCTTCCATAGGAATACAACCATGACTCTTCTCCATCAGGACCACCTGCACAACCATCCAGCAGATCAATCATATTGTGCACACCTGTGAATACCAATGGTGAAATTCTGATCCCATTGAAGTTAATGGCAAACTCACACTGATTTCATTAAGGCCAGAATTTCACTCCATGTATTCCATATCCATCTAGCTCTAGTTCTAATTAAAAAAAAATCCTACAATGGCTATATCTTCTGAAACATAACATTGGTGACAGGGGAAAAGATGCTTTTAATGTCATTTACATTAAAACCTTCAATGTTCCTACACAAGTTACATCATTGTTTGATCCCACACATATTGTAATAGCAATGTACTCTATTACAGAAAACAACCTCGCTGCATAAGGGTTAGTCCAACCATTTTTCAGCTGTTCCCTCCTCTCCAAACCTCAGTATCACAAGGGCCAGTCCTAATTCAGAAAGAATATGGCACAGCGCTATCCAAGGAAAAATTATATTGAATTGATTTCTAGAATTATCTGGTAATATTGGGAGATGATATAGGTGCTATATCTTGGGTCTTCAGATTGCAGTGCACTTCATGTCATTTCCAATGCAACATTCCTTAATAGCAGGCAAAGTTTAGGTTTTCCCTGTGGATTGAAGGTGAAATAGATTCTTAGTTGTCTCAGCAACACCAAAAAAAATAAGAAGCTAGTGGCAGTGTGTTTGGAGTAGGAAACAAAACATATAAAAAAGAATCTTAGAGCAGGAATATCCATGTCAGGTCCCCTTTTTTCTCTGCTAAGTCCAATATAAATATATCACATCTGGCAGTTAATTACGGTGTTTATAGTATGCCTCGATCAGAAATTGTGGAAACATTTCTGAGTTTATTGGAAATTTGTTTTCTTATGTGCTAATGAATCTCAGTATTGTCCATCTTGCACCACTTCCACCCAAAATATGAGAAGCTAAACATAAACCTCATGATTTGTAATTTCCACTTATTAGATTAGTCATTATATATCTGGAAATCATACCGTGTGTTGATTTGAGAGAAATTCAGACAATCAATCATGTTTTCTTTAAGCACAATATCCAGTTTCTCTCCATATTTTTTCTTGTATATGAAATTGATTTATTTAGTGACTAGAAGCAGGCAATTACTCTCTAGTGATTATGCTAACAGTAAATATCAATATACCCTGTTTGACTCTCATGAAGGAGAGCAGAGATAGAGTAGTGCTGTAGTTAATTTACTCCAAAATAAGGCTGCCAATTATCTTCTCAATGTATGATGTATGCACTTGAGTAGTACATAATCTTTCAGCCCCCCAGTATTCTCTCAATCACTTTGGAATGGTGCTTCCACTGCAAAAATATATCTTATTGGCAAATTTGGTGTGCAGTGTTGTTTGAAGCAGACTAAAACTACAGCTACCACAAAAGGAAAAAAATAAAAGCACTATGAAGACATGCACTCACATAATTTGTGATAAAGAATATACATTAGTCAGTTCTGTAGTTGCTGAGGAAAAGCTCTATACTTAATGTTAAATTAAAGTGTGACCACTCAAGAAGAGACTTGGCTTACTTTTGAAGTGTTTAAAAATGAATGAGATCAAGAGAGGAGAACTGTGATATTTTTGGATCTGACAACCAGGGAAGATGTAAGAACCAATTTGTTGCAGAGCATTTTAGCAAGTTTATTTATTTTGGTATTACTGTAGTTCTACATGTTGTCTTTATATTTTATGTGACTAAGCTAAAGAAATAGATACACTGGTATTATCATCAGTTTTCTTTTTTTAATACATGCCATAGGCTATGGTCAGTAACCATGTTATATTATTATTTGACTTGTGATCTGTGTTTGGTAGGAAGACATGCTGACATTAAATATGTCTTATGTTCTGTTTATGTACTGATGAAAGAGAGTTTATTTTCCAAGTGACATACATTGCAATTTATGTGAGATTATTTCTGCTGGGTTTAAAAATAGTTTAGACTTGAATTCAGGAGTCAGAGAATAAATGTCCCATCCTGATTAAAAACATAAAGTTGACACCTTTTACTAAATTAGCTATAAATGAACTAGCTAAAAGCACTTCCCCACCATAGGGGAAGAGAATTATATAGCGGTAGGGTATATCAAGTGAATATATGTGTGGGCCGACTTCTAGACTGATAGATGGGTCCCTTTTCTTCACTGATCTGTCCCTTTTATCCTCTCACTCTTCCTCCTTGAGACGCCTTTCATCCTTGCCTATTCTTCCCCCCTTTATCACCCTGCATCATTTATAAACTCCTGAAGTTTGTAATGTATATGGAAACTATGACTGACAGCTAGTTCCATTAACAAATCTACCTCCCCCAGAAACTAGTCAGAAGAACCAGTCCTAACACATATAAAGTTACTATGCTAAGCCATTTGTGACTTACAACTAGCCAAATCCAAAATTATGGAGGTGTTCAGAAAGTGAAAGCAATGAGAGTAGTGCTTCTGAGACAAACCCCTTGCCCCATGTTTACCAGATGCTTTGCCTAACTTACCCCAAATGTTCCAGATATCTTTAACCCATGCAGATTGCTTTAGTTTTACAGTTTGTATTTTCAAAATCAGGCTTATTATGTAAGGTTAGCACATCTAGCTGGAAACTAGTGACTCTCCATAATCTACAACTATTCCTCTGCCTGCTTTTCCATATTCTGATGCAGAGAATGTGTGGTTATTTTCTGGTGTTTGTGTTTGTGTGTGTGTATGTATTCATGTTTAATAAATATGGTCTTTTAGGCTTCCTGTCTCTCTCTGTGGTGGAAAGAACTCTCCTGGGGTGTATTGTATTTCCATCCAGTGTAGAATGTGCTATGTGAAATCCATGAGCCAGATGCTCAACCGGAATAAATCATTATAATTCCATTGAGGCCGAGGATAAAGGTTTAGGCCTTTATATTAATACCTTTTCCTATCATCAAGTAAAATAGTGAATGCTACAAAAAAGGGATGGTCATCTGGCTGGCGACAGGGTGGCTGTTTTAACGCAGAAGTGGATTAAAACAAAACACACGCACACACAATTTTTTGTTTTTTTGTTTTTTCTCATCTAACAGCCAGGTGAATCAGGCAGTGGGTGGAGAAACATAATTGCAGGAAGTTTCTGCCAAATTTATTTACATAAAATTTTCATTCCATTTTGGCTGTCCAGAGCCCAGATCAGAATGACAGGGTAAAAAAAAAGGCTTTGGCAACTAGATCACTTTAGAATGAATAGGTCAGCTGTGAACAATTTACACTGAAATCCATCTTTCACATTATAGGGCTATTGGAAATCTAGTTTTATGCAGATAAAGTTACTTAATAAGAACAACATTTAAAATGAAATGTCTATGTCATAACTGATCTTTCCTGTATCTAGTAAGTTCAGTATTCTGTACACTATTATGGGATAGGAAAGATGATCCAGTAGTTAGGGCACTAACCTAGAACTTGGAGGACCTACTTCCTGCTCTGCCACAGACTTCCCAAGTCACCTTGGGAAAACTCTCTTAGACTCTCTGTACCTCATTTACCATCTGTAAAATGGGAATATTATCATTTCCCTACCTTACAAGAGTGTCAGGAGGATAAATACATTAAAAATTGCGAGGCATTAAGGCCCAGATACTCCAAAGTATTTAGGTGCCTTATGCACCTACATACCTTGGAGGATCTGGGCTTTAGATACTACAATAATAGGAGCCGTGTAAGTTCCTAAAATAGATAGACTTGAAGAGGAAATGTGATATCAAGGCACTCTGTGTGTGCAGTGGCAGGTTTACAATGGTGCCAGTGGCGCCATGGAACCGGGCCCATGCTCAGAAGGGGCCCCAGCCTGCTCCGCTTGCACTGTGCCCTGAGACCCCGCTGGCTCCCCCCGCCCACCGCTTGCTCCTCTCAGCCGCTCCTCTCCATCCCCGTCCCCACCTCCCTGCTTCTCTCTGCCCCCTGGCTGGACCCCAGTGCACCTCTGGCTCCAGGCAGTCTCTGCTTCCCACCACCTGTGGGGCCCTGCCTGTCTTCCAGAACTGAGCTACCTGGGACTGGTGCAGAAGCCTGGCCAGTCTCAGGTCTCAGCTGGTTTTGGGGCGGGGGGGACAACAGGAGTGGAGGGTGCTTGGCTGGGCCTCTCCAGGCAAGTGGGTCATCAGGGAGCCCGGCCGGGGCAGGTCCTGGCCTGGCTGATCGCACCATTCCCAAGGGGCTGGAGCGATTCCCCACCGTGGGACCAGCCCTGACTGTGCTGCCAGCTCAGCCTGGGCCGGTGAGTGTGGCAGGGAGGCAGGGCATAAGGAATAAACTACCTCTTAGCATAGGGAAAATTCACAAGCTAAAACAAAAGATAATCTAATGCATTTTCTTGCCTTTACTTACAATTTCTGTAATTTTAGATGTATCATTTCAGGTATCTTTTTAGGAGCTGGTTTACCTGCTTGGTGTCTTTCTCTGTCCCATGAGGGAACAAACAAAGAGAGCACAAACAAAACCTCCCCCCACGAATATTTGAAAGTATTTTCTTTCCCCATTGGTCCTTCTAATCAGGTGCCAATACATAAAT